ACAGCAAATGAAACCCATCTATCTTGAGTTCCCATCTCATTGACAATAATTCAGTTCATACGTTCACCTCGAAGATAAACCAGAAAAAACCAACCGCGCGCTACAGAAACGAAGGAGAGTCAATCCAATCTAAACTTGCATATATATATATATATCACCATACAATCAGTACCAGAATCCTTCAAATAAATTTGTCGCAAATTCATTAAATTGACTAATAAACAATCTATATAGCGAGAATTTGGGGTTTAGATAGTTTTGAGTTTAGTTACCTTGTATTTATCTACAGAAATGGCGGCCAAGCATCCTCCTGGAAACAAAATCTGTAAATATAAAAGATAAAAATCAAATCAAATACAGACGTATCTAACAATAAGATCCTAAACCAAACTATGCAAGAAAAGGAATCTGGAGTACATACATTCATATATTTCTGAAGGTGCTTTGGCATTTTCTTCGGTCTCCGGGATGGCCTCCCTCCTGTCATCAAAATGATATCCTTTTCCACCTCCTGTGTGGTCAAAGGAACCGTAATACTCAGCTTCCTCTTTGCCGGCGGTGACAGCAATGACAAGGATGGCTCACTCTTTTCCTTGTTGTCGGACAGAGATTATTTGTTCTGGAGTGGCTTCCGTGGCCTCATGTTCCAGGTCTTGAAATCCTCACTCGCATCTTCATCTGCCTGTGCTGGTGGATTAAGATTTGGGAGAACATCTGCTTTGTCCCTTGTTGGGGGAAGTTTGAATTTGATTATGATTTTTGTTTTCGATTTGGATGGGGATGAGTAGGTTTCGGAAAGTGTTTTATTTCTCTCTGCAGATTCAGAAGTTGGATCAAACGTGGCTGAGTGGCCGGCGGCAGACTGGCATATTCTGGAGGAAGTTTTTTCCGCCAGCCACAGATTGGAGACAGATTTTACTGGAACAGAAGGACCTTTCGCCATTGCAGATGACCTTCTAGCCCTTGATTTCATGGGGCGGCGGCCAGCGGTCTTGCGGGTGTTGTGCTTCTTCCACTGCAGCTCTGGCGGGAGATTAAAATTGTGCAGCCGTAGTGGAGGCTTTCCGGGTTCGCTGGATGAAGGCATATCTGGATGACTGCAGTGAAATTGAGGAAGAACTTGCAGCAGTAGCAGGTTGGTAGTGTTGTATAATTAAGGTTGAAGAAAGCCCAAACCAGATACGGCAAAGATTTATTCTTTTATCGCTCTCACTCTCACTCTCACTGCTCACTCACCAAATCAATTATTACTATCATAATTATTAGTGTGGAGAGAGAGAGTGGTATAATTAAGGTTGAAGAAGACCCAAACCATATATGATAAAGATTTATTCTTTTATCGCTCTCACTCTCAGTGCTTACTCACCAAATCAATTATTATTATCATAATTATTAGTGTGGAGAGAGAGAGAGAGTGGTATAATTAAGAGACTGGATTGATAATAAATTTCACCTAAGACTTTGCGTTTGTCTCTAATAAAAACTAACGGACAGAAACCCTAAGAAAATACGGTGCACACAAACATAAAAACAAACAAAACCCTCCTTTCTATCAATCAACAAGTTTTCTGCGGCAAAACATAGCAAAATGTTATTTGACATCTGAATTTAGAGGACAAATAAACCAGTAGAAGAACTTAATCGGCTCATCTAAAATCAAAATCAATCTACCCCAATGAACAATAAACCGGATCTATCTCCTCTTAGAACAACAAATTTTACGATGTTTTTTAATAAGTTTTACTTTTTTAAAAAAAAAAAAAAGAAAAGAAAAAGAAGTAATCAAAACTGATTTTTTCATCAGGAAGAACTTATTAGTCTAGCTTAAACCCCACATTTATATGTGAACAAAAAAATGCCATATTTGTATAAAATAAGATGAAATTAACGAGGAAGAAAATATGTGTATATATAATAACCATATATTAAGACAGAGGTAGGGGATAGAACAATAAGTAGGACCCAAAATCAATGACAAAACATAAAAATCATCAACAATATTGAACAACAATGAGAAGCAATAATCCGTCCATCTATAACTGAGTCCTTAGCACTGCTAGTGGTGTGTTTCTTCCCATGAGTTGTCCTCCAATTGATAAGTAGGATCCCATTGCGCAAATTCTTCAAATTTGAAAGGGTTCTTCACCGCTGGCGATGGTTTGGATAGTACCAGAGGGTTCGACGCATTGTTCCCGAAGAATTGTTGGACATACTCATGTAATTTTGTCGCATATATTTAAAAAATAACAAGTTATGTACTTTGAGGGTACATTATTATAACATGTAGGTTAAACTTCTATTTTCAAGCCTTAGCCTTACGACATGGTATGCGGTGGAGTTTTTTGATATAAATCTGTCCGTCTCCATATATTTTGCTAATTTTAAGTTTTGTAAATTTGGAATTGAAACAATAAAATTATACTACAGTTTCCATTGTAAATAGAATTCCACTTGAAATTTGTTGTAGGAAACCTTACAGTTTTGTACAAGATCCTTCTGCAATGTGTCTTGGATGAGAGGGTCCAAAATAACGGGAGCAACCAAATAAATTATTTTGGGAAATTTTTTTAGTTTTTTATATATTATATTGTTAAGTTTTAATGTGACAAGATTGTAAACAATGAATGTGTTCAACTTAAATTTAGTTAGTAATTTATTAGAATTTCCCAGGAATCGAACGTTGATTTTCTAGTATTTAGTATTTGGTTAGATTTAATATTTCACATTATATGGTAATAGTACATTAATTTTTACGTATGTTAGATACTTATTGTCATCATGTCGAATGAGATCAATTGTGTCAAATATATGATTTTTCGCATCACTACAACATTATACTACTCAACTCATTAGATTTGATTGTACATATCGTCATTAAAGTTAGTTCAATTTTACATAGATTGAATATTTATTTGTCGCATTTGTCATTATTCGAATGAGATTGCTTGGATCAAATTCGAGGTTGTTTTCTTGCTCAATACATTAAATATATTTTTTTTCTATAAGTATATTAAATGTATAATGCCCCCTTCTCCAACATTACCTTTTTTTTTCTTTATGTAAAGATAATCTATACATCATAAAAGAGGATTACAACCAAAGACTACAAGCCTTATATAAAATACCCAACTAAAAAGTTTAAAACCTAATAAAATAAGAGGATCAAATCATGTAAAAGCCGCCGGCCCAAATGCTCCAAGTAGCTTCTACCACCTAGGCCAGTAGGCGAAAGACAACTCCCAAAATACTGACAAGGCAAGACAAGATCAAAAGCTATTCATGGTCCTAAACAAACATTCACCCCACTGATTGTCTTTCTTCATGATTTATATTGTTGATTGGTCACACTCCGAGTGTGAGGCCAAAAAGGAGGAAATTTGGCATTGGTGAAGAGAGGTTTTTCAATTAAATGAGAAGCAATAGAAGAAGGCAAAGATTTCACGTGAATATTTTCAGAGCCAATGGTTAAGGGGATACTTTCTATCACGGGATTAAGCCCACAAAAATTACCCGAAGGAATCTAATGATGATTTGAATTCCGAAAATATAGAGACAAATAAAAGAAGAAAACAAATACTCCCTCCGTCCCAATCCAAAGTGTACAAACATATTTAGACATTTTTACCATTTGACTTTATGTATAAAGAAATTGTATGTGTAATGGTATGTTTGTAATTTAACTAAAAATATTTTTTTAAGTTAATTTGGCATTAATGTATGATTACTTTTTCTTAAATAGAAAATTGATACTTTTAAGTGAGACATACGAAAAAAAAGAATTTTGATATTTTGAGTTAGAACAGAAAAAGTAGTACAGTAATGAAATTAAGAAGAAATAACAAAATATATGGATACAGAACAACATTAATAATAATAATAATAATAATAATAATAATAATAATAATAATAATAATAATAATAATAATAATAATAACGACTGAGGAATAGGTGCACAATCAATTTTGACATTAAAATATGTACTACTGAATTATATTACATACATACTACGTTATTACTCCCATTGTATATACTAAATTATATGAAATAGTATTTTCTAAACATAATATCCTAAAAATAATAAAATAAGTGTATATCATACAGTATATTTTGTATGCTAACAAAATATTACAATATAACATCAACACACAAGAATATTTGACATTGTGGTAATGAAATGCTAAAATTTCATGTCATGGATTCCACTTTATTTCTTTTGTGTATGTTTAGAATTTACATAATCTTATACTCCCTCCGTTCCACATAATTTGTCACTAGTTTCTATTTTCGTTCGCCCACATAATTTGTCATTTTCTTTTTTGGAAATATAATTATACACTTTAATCATATTTTAAAGTTTAAATTTTATAATTTTTTAGTTAGGTTAATCTTAATCTATAATTATTTTTATTATACAATAATTATTTTTACTCATACACTTCTTAAAAATTAGTTACTAATTATATTTTACCAAAGATTGGTCATTGTTTGATATTTCTTATTGTCCGTATATGATTATTGCAACAAGATAACTGCTAGCAATCAATGTTATTGATCCATAGATTGATCATTGTACTTACGGTCTTGGGATGAGAATACATTATTCTTCAGCTTCATTATGTTCCATAAATATTTATATATATATATATATATATCTGTCAGTCCCAATATGGTATGGGAATACAATATCTTTTCGTATCCGTTTTTGTTACAATTTTTTGTTTGTGATCAAAAATAAAAGTTTTTTTTGTAACGAAGCATAATCGTAACAAATAATATATTGCAAATATTTTCTGACATCCATATTATCTTTTTGTAATGGTTTTTTTAACATGTCTCCGTGACAAAAAAATAAACCATTTGTCCATTAAAATTACTTTTTGTTACGACTTAAATATACAATTGTAACGATTTATAAAATAATATCTATTTCGTGAAAATTCTCATACAATATTGTTTTTCATATTTCCTACAAAATCCATCATAAAGCCTATAAAAGAAAAATGATCCAACCACTGTCTAAGAGATCCCATAATAAGTTACACTAACAATTGTCTCAACTACGCACGGAAGGGCTACATAATGAGCAAATAAACCAAAATTATATACTTATGAGCAAAATAATCATCTAGTAAGCCCAAAAGACATCATAATTATACGTAAAATGTTCAATCTAATATAGAAAACATCTAAGACACCAGTCCAAGTTAAAATACATACATGGTGGTCTGATGCTCATGCATCGACAAAAATTGGAGGAACTCAGGTGTGGTGAACCAGCTGCAATGAATAAGTAAACTATATAAGTGTTTAATTACGAAATGTATAAATTACTACAAAAAATAAACTTTCAAAGATAGATTACCTACATCTCTGTACGTCCACTTGACGGGATTGATATGGACTATCTGACCAAGAGTACGTGCTCTAACAATTGTTGGCAGAATAATTGCAGTCTCCAGAACTGTGGCAACTACGATAAAGATCTTAGCCATTCTTAGCATGTCACCTGTATACAACAATTGAGAAAAAAAAAATGTTATCATGAAAACAGTATATCTCATGACTAAAACTTATAAGGGTGTAATCTTCTATAGAAATTACTATAGTACTAGCTTCTCCCCAAGTTTCAATATTGACTTTTTGATATCCCTTGTAATGACATAGTTCCTTGTGGAAGGGTTGTGCCACCAAATTGAGTACCATCCCCGTGATCCACAAATTGATCAAATTCTATCACTTTCTTGAAGTAAGTCACTTAAAAGACAAAGATAAAAATGCATTGTCAACTCCATAATCTACTCTACGTTCTTTTTTTTTTTCTTTCATACGCCAAAGTTTATCAATTTGCCATTCAGACTTTGTTTGAACTCTACATCCATGTATAATTAATTTCTAAATGTCAAATTTCATGCCAAGCAATATGAATATTTCAACCAATAATTATGGAAAAACAATGCCAAAATTCATTTAGTTACCTATGCTATTCAAACAATGACCATGAGTCGAATCCATATTCAATTGGTTAAAAAAATTATAAAAACTTTGGCAAACAAGCTTTTTATCCCATTACTTGGACTTTAGCATTCCTTATGAAAATTACATTAACACAGTTCTTCAATCCATGTTGTAAAACTATGAAACTTACTGTGCAATTTGTTCATAGTGAAAGATGAATCACTTATCGAATGTAACAAAGATTACACTACAAAAAAACTCTTGATTTGCGAGGGAAAAATTCCCTCGCAAATCAAATTATTACCTTCACAAAACATGTTAGCGAAGGAAGTTGCGAAAGAATACATGTCATCGCTATACACATGCTCGCTAATTTGGATCCGAGGAAAAATTCTCTCGCAAATGTTTGTGAGGAAATTTAGCGAAGCATCGATTCCTTCGCAAATGCTTGCGAAGATATAGTTTTCCTTCACAAATTGATTCAAAATTTGCGATGGAGTTCATTCCTTCACAAATATCCATCGAGAATTGATTCAAAATTTGCGATGGAGTTCATTCCTTCACAAATATCCATCGAGAATTGATTCAAAATTTGCGACGAAGTTCATTCCTTCGCAAATATCCATCGCAAATTGATTCAAAATTTGCAAGGGAATTCATTCCTTCCCAAATATCCATCGCAAATCATTTTACAAATTATCATCACTAGTTCATTTAAAATTCCTATACTTCCAAAATAATTACAAAGTAACAATATATTCATTTTAAATTCGTACTCGTCTCAAACAAGCACAAACTAACATTATAAGAAATCATTTTAACCATCCAAATAGTAAGCACCATGTAATACAAAATAAACTCCATCTCCAATGTCCTAGTATATCCCGCCCACCTCGAATATCACTCATCCACTTGTTATAGGCCTCTTGTGCCCTAGTATTAAGTTTCTTTAAGACCTTTTCCTTATGAGCCGGATCCCACCTGATGTACTTCTGCATTGATTAGAATATGCAATGAATAGTTATGAATTTACTTACGTGATGTGATAGCCTGTGTATTCTCGGCCGATGTAGCATCTGCAGATGTACCTACATAATGAATAGTTATGATTTTTATTTATATTTGCACAACTTTAAAGATATTGAAATTGTTATGTCTTTCTTACCTGACCCCTTCTCCTACTTGGGTCTCATAAAATCTCGGCTCATGTTGCTCCTCTTGCGTTTCCGCCTGCCACAACAACATTTGTGACCTTGCCAGATGGCGGATGTTCCGGCTTCGTTGTTCTTCATTGGATCCTTGCGACATCTACAATTGAATGTACATTATCAGAAATCTTAAATATAGTTCGGAATTATGAGAAAATATAAATAAGATTAAATCTTATAAAGTTATAACATAATCATAAGGCACATCATCTTTGAGAAGATCTTGAAATGTTCTTGTTTGAATGACCTCCTTCTATTCATTAGATTGAATTTTAGGACCAGAAGGAATCAAAGGTTTCTTTGGAGGATCTCCTCAAGATAGAGGAATAGTACAAACCAACAGAGTTGAGTTGTTAACCAAACAAAGCTGAGAAGGAAATAGGAGAGACAGATTTAAAATCCAGAAAAGAATCTCTAGCAATGCTATGTAGAGGTACATTAGCATACTTTTCAAAAACTGCATTTATAAAAATGTCTGTAGCCTGAAAAAGGGGTCTTGCTTTTCTGCTATCCACAATCTTATAGGCTGGCATCCTTCAGTTCAAGGGTTCCCTACAAGTGGGCATGGAAAATAAAGTAAATATGGGAACTTTTCTAAATGAAACATAGTACTTATGTAGGGAAAAATTAAAAAGATAAAATAAAATAAATTAATTTGGAGATATTTGCCCAACCAATTTCAGATAATTTTGTAGGTCATTTGAATAAATAAATAAATTCTTACATCTGCGATATCCTTGGTAATAAAGAGATTTGGCAGCAAAATGAAAGATACGGGTAAGTATTCAATGATTATAACAAAACAACAAATTGAAAGAAAATACTTCATCAGCTCAAACACCAAAGGCCAGATAGCTACCATCATTTGACCTTACAATAGAAAAAAAAAAAGAGTTAAAAGGATGATCAAGAGTTGCCCTTTATAGTAAGAACGCTGTACAAAAAATTGTGAAGACTGAATAAAAATTCTGAATTCATACTCCAGGCAAGAAAGGGAAGAACATGTATATAACACCAACTCATTCTAAGTGTCGTGTCTAAACAGAAGCAGCAGGAGGAAGCTAGATGCAATACATTTTTTTAAAATCATATACTGTTTCCTCATCCACCTAAACAACATATCTAAATGATGGTTCCTACTTCAAATCTAGAACTGGTAACTATCAAATTAAGTTATTAGATAAGATCAGTAGTACCCCAAATTTGTGGTCTTGTCACATAAAACATAAGCCTAACACTATAGATTCAAACGACTTCTATCAAAGAACTGAACAGCTGATGAGAAATTTTCCATTTGACTACAAAGCAAGCTTATCTTTGCTCACACACACAAAGGATAAACAAACCAGAATTCTGTCTTACCACGAAACAAAATTGATTTTTGCACCACTTGGAAGACCATGTACTTCTTTTTCAGGTCCCAATGTACAGTCCTCCATTATCTGATAGATTCCAATCCCTGTATAATATGACTTGGAAATAAATATTACAAATTATTTCCATCTAAAGACTAGAAGTAGGAAAAATAGATAAAAATACCTAAAGCTCATCACAGTTTTATTGCAGAAAAGAGAACTCCGTGGAACATGAAAAGGTCCAACAGTTATTCTGTTACTCACATTCGACTCCGGGAATTACATCTGGGATCAATGCGAATTCCAGCAAGCTTCTCCTCAGGCCTTGCCAGGTGAAAATGATAGTGTTGGAAGGGGCGGAGCATCAACAATATTTCTGATCTCTGGTGGAGGAAGTCCATATCCATTTCCCTCTGATAATTCTACAAGGATGTGTGATACAGCAGATGAGAATCAGACATTTAACCTTTAAAATTGATGTGAAAAGTTAAGATTCAAACTGAACACTAGATGCAGATCCTCTTCTTCTTGAATCAGACAAACAAAGATGAGAATCCTATTAAGTACTACTGTGCAGTACAAACATGAAAGGACCTAGTGATTTGTTGAGTAATGGCAAAGTTATGAGACAACAGTCACCAACTAGCTTCCTCCCGACTAGATGAAACAAAGAGTGAGCGTAAAGTCACCAAAACCAATCCATTTCGGCGATACAGCTTGTTGAAAAACCAGGGGTGCAACAGGCCGGAAAGATAGTTTCATCAGATGAATGTCATAAAAGTACCTCTTCCACATGAATTATAATAACCTCATATAAATTGATCACAAATTTCAATACTAAGTCTGAATCTTAATCAAAGAGGTTCCCCGTAGCTGACGGATGTATGTAGGATCTAGAAAGATGAGAAAGAGCAGCTACTCGTCATTAAGAAAATAAACAAACAACAACAGAAGAAGAGAGAATAGCAAAAGATCATTTAACAACAGCAACACAAAAGATTTATATCTTCCGATCAAAGCCAAGCACAAAGTCACGCAAACGCTTCGGCGCGACAGGATAAAGGAAAGAGAGGTAGAGAAACAAGCCTCCCTCGAACTTCCCCGACCGCAATCACATTCATACAAAATCCAGATTACAGTGCAGAGTAACAATATCGAAAAACCCAAAGCAGTCGTCAGTATTCCGAAAATGCATTCATAGACACACGAAGTCAGGAATCTAGTTTATCCAATAGCTACCTTCATAGTCAACGGTGGATGGTGGAGAAGAATTGGTGGCGCCACCCAAGCTCTCGGTGGCGGCGTTCATGGAAACAGCGCTGCGGAACGTCATCGTCCGCGCTCCAATGGCAACTGATGACTTCGGCTTGAAGAATAGAGAGGATGGAGGGAGAGTCGATTTTAGTTTTACAGGGGCAGGCAGGCGCACAGAAAAAGAAGAAGAGGAAAGGAGGAGAAGGACAGAGGTTGGAAGAAAAAAGGAAAGAAATGAGAGGAATTGAGGAAGAAGGAAGGAAGAGGGAGAACCTGTTTTTGGGGGCTCGCTGGCTCAGGCGCGGCTGTAGCCTGCGGCGTCCTTGGAGTGTGGATGTGATTAGAGATTAGGGTTAAATTGTGTGTATTTTATTATAATATCATTATATTTATAATTAAAATTTAAAATATAACAATAATAATATTAATACATATAAATAATTATTAATAATATTGAAAATTAATAATACTTTTAATATTTTTTTATTTATATTTTATATTTTATAATTTTTATATATAATTTTAATTATTTTATTATCTATTACAATATTTTTATAATTTAATTATTTACTATATTTATTATTTTAATAATTTTTATATTGTAAAAATTTAAATAATTATTTATATATATGATTTTTATATAATAAATAAATAATAAATATATTTAAATAAAATTAAAATGAAACTTAATTATTTTAAAATAAAATTCAAATTTTTAGAAAAATAGAAAATAAAAAAGAAAAATATTAAAAATGAGTATATATAAATCGGCGGTTCAAACCGTAATCGAAACCGTTAAACTGTAACCGAAACCGTCATTTGCAATGTTCGATTTTGATTTGCTATTTTCACAAACCGTAGCCGACGGTTTGTAACCGTAATCGGCGGTTTGAACCGTTTGGGCAAATTTAGTAGGAACCATCCTTAGTATTTCATTTGTTATATAAAAATATGTTTATTTTTAATTTAAAAATATTTGTATTTTTTAATAAAAAATTATATTATATTTTATAAATTTTCATAATAATTATTTTGTTATTATTTAATAAAATCTAAAATTTATTAAGAAAATTAATATATTTTTTACTTTCGATTCTTTTTAAAAATAATTTAAAAAATATTATTTATTAATAAAAATACTAATTTGTAATTTTGCGAGGGAATATAATTTTTTTGCAAAATTCTTCACTAATAGCAAGGAATTTTTATATTCCTTGAAAATTATGTTCATTAATTACGAATTAATAAATTCCCTTACAAAATTTCTTCGTAAAAACAAAATTCATCGGTATTTGCGAGGGATATAAAATTCCTTACAAAAATCCTTCGCTAATGTATATTTTTTATTGTAGTGTTAATATTTGAATTATTTAAGAAAATACGTTTTGAATAACTATTGGCTTTTAAAAAATATCTTAAATTAGTGTATTTTGACAAGTTATTCTCAATTTCCATCAACTATCAACACAACATGTTGCACAGGATTTGAAAATCTCCATATAGAGAGATAATCAGAGAATATTTATCAAAATAACAAAATTTATTATCAACAAAATCAAGAATACAAATACCAATAGCGCACCTTAAAGATATGAACTAAAATTATTTATCTAAACAAACTTATTGTAATTGCCAGAGGAATTGAATCGTTCTCTGCCAAGCTCGTTGATAGCCGAAAAAAATATTTGTTATTGTATATTAATTCGCAGGGAATTTTATTCGAAAATCAATGAGTAGAGTTTTTATAGAAGAATGGCCAGATATAGCAATTATGTGATTGTAGACCCTGGATAGTTATCACAATTATTTATACTCTTTTTACTGGTGAGTTTCCAGGTCGAACACAGGGATTTAAAGTCATGAATTTCAAAGGTAAAAAATCTTGGAGAAGCGACGAAGAGACAAAAGGGGTCCGCTTGGAGCGGGCCTAAATTTTCTACTACAGAAAGCGGTAAATAAAACAGTAAAAGATGAACGGGGACGAGCGAAGCGAAAGCGAGAGGATTGGGATGTGAATGAGCGGCATATTATATGTATATATATATGAGCGAATTAGAGTGGAAAAGAGGTGTTGTGTCTGAACTGTGCGTTACGAAATGGGTAGATTTCCCTGGATGCAGCGAGCGAGTGACGAAATTGTGTTATCGGAAGTATATATGTATATTACGAAGATGATGATAGAAAGATGTTGTAATTATATAAACTCGATTATAAAGAACTCATCACACTGGTATTTTGGCCTGGGGAGGATTTACAACAAGACTTCAATGACACCCAGAATTAAGACATTATAAGAAAGAAACCCTACTGTCACTAGGAATTTCTGCGACCTAATAGACCCCCGTCTATGTCCCGTTAATTTTCCCAATTTCTGCCTCATTAGTGGCTTTACCCCCTGATGTTGGTACTTTTTTATCAGAATCAAATTCAGCACAGTAATTAAGTAGGTCGACAAGGCTCCCGCGTACTTAACTACGTTGAACTACCTTGAGACCGCTTTTGGCGCATCACAAGGCTTAATTAATTAATTCATCTCTCGCTCTATACCAGTGATATGAAATTCTCTAAATTGATTTATATAAGTATGGGAAATTGTGGAAGGATTTAAATTGAAGAAGAGAATGATATTTCTTTATATACTATGAAAACTGCGAAAAGGATTAGACTACAAAGCTGTAAATGAAAGCAGTAAGCTAGTCTAAGAAAGCATTAAAGACGTGGCCAAGGGAGAGGGAAGACACCCGCTCCCTTGGCCTTTCCTGTGGAGAACTCCCTTACAGGGTTGGAGCTCTCGGAAACAGGAAGACGACGAACGCTGTGTGTATTCTGAAGAATTATCCAAGAATTCGATCTTCTCTTTTTACATACAGATATCTGGCCCTATTTATAGCAGGTGTAACGAGACGGTTGCAAGAAGCTGTTGGGTAGTTCCAACCGCTGGGCAGTTAGGCGGTTGCAGGTGGTTTTTTCTGTTGAAGCAGTTGCTGGCCATAACTCCCAGGGTGACCGCTTCGCTTGCGTTGATGGCACAGATCTTCCTCGCTTGCTGGAGAGCAGGAGGGCATCAGCGTAGCACGGCTCGCTTGAGCTAGCTGGAATTGGAATAATTGTACCGCTGCATTTGAAGTACTTAGTTGAAATTTGGTGATAGTCTGCAGCGGCGGGTATCTGGACTGTCGCTTGCAAGCGGGAGGGGCTATCGCTTGCGGCTATGAAGGTGGCCGCTTGCCTCTCGTGCCTTAGTGTTTTCAAGGTGTGTCTTGGGCGCTTGCGAGCGAAGGCGGCTGTCGCTTGCGACGTCTGCCTTAGCTTTTCTGGCTCCAGAATACCGCTTAAGAGGGCAAAAATCATTAATAATCTCAACAACGAATTCTGGGTCATGCCTGGTGATATAAATCAATATTGTATGCCGATTACGAATTATTTTGATGGTTCTTATGCAAAAATTCAAGTAACACACATTTTTGTCAAGCTAAGAATATGCTCATATTTGGAGTCATCAAACCTCCTCACACTAAACCTTTGTTCGTCCTCGAACAAACTGCATTAAAGGATCAAGAGGTTATTCCGTTCACGGCAATCAAGAAGTGCTAATAACCAGTGCCATGATTGGGAGTAGAGTGAATCTCAATTAGTAACAAGTGAAACACAAGTATTCAGCATGTCATTTGATTTAACGAGATTGGAGTTGTCCAGGTATTGTCAACTTTGTTCGCTTAGCAGAGATTCTTTTTTTGATCTAGGAAACCTTCAGCCGAAGGGCGTGGAGAATATATGTATATTTTTTTTTTTTTTTTGGATCGTAAGTTTCAAACAAACATTGTGTCTGCTCATGATCTTATTAGGTTCTCGCACGCCTAGGCCTTTTCAGTTCCTTTGTGATGATAGGTCCTCCCTGCTTTGCTTGCATCGTATCTTAAACCGAATTTAAGGACTTCTCTTTTCAAGTTATGCCTTATGAGCAAAGTCGAAAAACCTGGTCACTTGCCTTACTGAGTATGGAAAGTTGAAACGAAGGGGGCACTAGTTTTTCACAAGTCTCTTTCGCTGTTACTTAGTCTAACACTAGTGTTCGAGTTATGGTGAAGTTCGAAGGACAAGTACTTAGTCTGATGTGCTTAGGTTGTCTAACTCTACTCTAGAACATATCACAAAGTTAACCAAGCAGAATATCACAGGAATTTCACATAAGAGCACATACTTCAGGTTATGTTAGGCATACAATAAAGAAAAATTGTCACGAGTTACCAAAAATTGTTGTCTCCTTGATTGATGTTATGTACAGCCCTTGTTATTCTCAATTTTACATGGGTGAGGACCTTTCTTTATTTCTTCTTTTCGCTTGCTGGTCCTCGCCCTTGAGGAAGGTTGCGTGATATCTGCCGCACTAGGTCTTCCAATCGGAGGAGATTCCTGGCTGTGTCAAGCTGTTGTTCCATTAGGATGGCGTTTTGTTGGGTAAAAGCTGCGAGAGCTTTCATAATTTCATGCAGCGTCGTACCCATGCTTGCAGCCAGAGTCTCTAGCGCTTCCACTCGCTCTTCTAGTGCCGCAGTCGCTTTCTTTCCAGCAGTCAGTTCGTCACCTAGACTCCTAGCGTATGTGTCTATTAATGTCTGAGTCATCATGTATTGGGTGAGAATGGCTGAGTCGAGTTCATCCAATCTTCTTTCAATATTTTCCAGTGATGCGCGGGGGGCTGATGGTCCAGCACCCGCCGCTTCTGGTGATTGTCGCTCGCTCTCAGCTGAACTGATCTCCACTGGCTCTTCCTCGTTTTGGGAATCGGGTGCTGGCTCAGGGGAGACATCCCTGAGGAATACTAGCTGCCTCGCTGCCTCGTACTCCTGTTGCTCTGCTTTCTTCTTTTGTAAATATCTTCTGAATCGCAGCTGGAGTTGAGTCAGCGGTTTCCAATATTTTAGCAGCTTGACCAGCACCTTCATTTTCCTTTTTCTTTCTCGCTCGAGCTGCTGCATTCGTTCGATTCGTTGTACTGCGGCAAGCAGCTGGGCTTTCTGTTCTTGGAACTTCCTGTCCTGTTCCTCCTCCTCCTCTTCTATAAGTGTTTTATCAGATTTGGTTGAGGCAGGAGTCAGAATTTCTGCGGGTGTCCCGATCATGGTATGCGTTCCTGGGCTGCTTGGGGATACCTGCAAGACAGGAAGATTTAGAATCACTGCCTCCACCTCTTCGGCTTCATTGGCAGCTTCAGCGGTTGTGGCAGCGGGGACCTCGGCGGGATATTCTTTGTATGATTCAATGGTGACATCGATCCCGCCAATAGTTTCTTCGGTGAATATGGTCTCCCGCTCCTCCTCTG